TCAAACAATATTATAACACAGATAATATTAAATAACAACAAACACAGACCTACATGTTATATCCAACAACCTATCACATATGTCACATAATGTGTACACAAAAACTTTATGTTCAGCCTTCTTCTTTCCTTGATAATGGCAGTTAACACACACACCTATTTTCTAAGATGTTTTCAACCCAGTGCTGCATAAATAGCAAAAGCAAAAGCTATTAAAGGATATTAAAGGTCCGTCTTCATTGCATCTGCATTCTCCTCTTCTTTGTGGAAGATTTTATTGTCCTGCTTCTTTATCCAGGAAATTTTTAAATCTCCTTTAATCCCCTTCTCTTTCAGACTCTCCTCCACCTGGAAAACAAAAATGTGTACAAGTAATGATTATTACGAACCTTTACTGGCTTGAAGGTCTCTGACTGAAGTTTTTACTGTAGTGTACAGTAGTGCTACAGAGGTGCCCTGGCCTACAAACCTTGTTCTCTAGATTGAAGAAAACCCCCCAAATTTATTATTATTTTTACGTTATTTTAATTATTTGTTTTTTATGTCAAGAAATTATTATTATAAAAATATATTCCCACAATTATCATTTTTTTTGAGCTATAATTGGTTTGTGATTCTGATCTGGTACCTATCATCCCATGATGGATCTTCTTTCTTTTAATCTTTTATTTACTTGCATACTCAAGTATGTATTTGCATGGAGGAGAGACATGCGCCTAAACCAGATTTTACTATTTTTCGTGAACATCTAAATAACCTCTGCAATCTATAGATTTATGGAGCCTACTCTTATCATACCTTTCTTCTTTTCTTTCTTCTTCTTCTTCTTCTTCTTCTGTCTCTTCTTTCTTTCTCTTTTTCTTCTTCTGTCGTATTTATATAGTTAAATGTTTTTTGTTTTTTTTTTTTTTATTTTTCTTATTATTCCTATTGCTTATGGCTTCATTTGCTCTCTCCCTCTCCTTACCCTTTTTCTGTCGTATTTTCTTTAATCTTATTCCGCTCCTTTTCTTTATTTTATTTGTCATTGTATTATCTAATAAATCTCTCTATCTTTTTGTTCGAGTTTTACATGCTCTTTCGCTTTCCTATTAATTGTTTAAATATTTTTGTATCATCGCTTTATCATGCTTTATACATTTTTCATTTTTATTTATGCTCTCAATTAGAATGTACTTATTTAAAATTGTATTATTTACTTTGTGTCTATTTTTTTTTTTTTGTTTTTTGTTTTTTTTTTTATTTTTTTTTTTTTTTGTTTTTGTTGTTATTTATTTTTTTTTTTTGTTTTTTTGTTTTTTGTTTGGGTGTGTGATTTTGTGGTTG